ATTGTATATGGGTGGTCTAGATTATCTAGATATTGTTTTGATTCATAGGGGGGACTCTTTATGTGCCTTTATCCTTTGGTATCTGTACTGGGACACAGCACACTGTTTCTTTGGCAATCATTCATATTTTTGCAGATTGTTTATCTTGTGAGTGTATAATGCTACATTGTTTCTACTAATTATACTAAGTTACAAATAGGTTTGCTACAATGCTAGCTTTAGTGTACCTATAATCTTAATTTTATTGATGACAGGAGGCGAGTATTTGCTTAAGTCTCTCTTTACTAGAACAGAACTCCACAGCAGCACAGAAAACAACCAATCAGAAAAAAGTTAGGTATTATAAAACTCCCTTCCCATTGCATCATTTCCGCTTTCAAGCTGCGACAAAACAGAACAAAGACAGAAAAAATAATGGGAAGAACGAAGTCCTAGATACAAAGAATACATCAATGTCCAACATCCGAGAAGAATGGTCAAACCGGATAGCATTGATGGACTGTAAAATAAATAAATCAATGTCCACCCTCCGAGAAGAATTGTCACACCAGATAGCGTTGATGGACTGGAAACTGAAACGAGAGAAAAACAGAATCGAACAGGTTGATTATCCAATGAAATGTACTCTGAACAAACATGTAGGTACCCAATGTAGCAACCAAAATCACCTTAATAATGTAGATATCCCAACCCTACTTGTGAAAAACAGACATAAGGACAGGTGATAGGTAGCAGAGACAACAAGCAGAGTTGTATACGTACCTGATTAATCCAACTATTAAAATTAAACAAGGGAGTGATAAGAACGGGTGGGAAATACTCGCCTCCTGTCATTAATAAAATTAAGATTATAGGTACACTAAAGCTAGCATAATCTACAATTTTATAACATGAGAGGAGGCTTTGTATTTGCTGTTTTAATGCTCAGCCCACAAATCCAACGATGATTGTTTCGCTGGTACCTAATCTGGAAGTTACTAGAGCCATCCTAAACGGACCTTCCAACTGCGAGAAGTGACAGAATACGGATCGATGAAGTTGCCAGCTGTCAAGGCACCTTAAATGCGGCAAAACACTATCCGATTGTAGATCCATTGAACCTGGGGTTGCAACCAGTTTCCTAGCAGCTGGTCCAGGAGTTGCTAAGCTGACCTATTAGCCATTTTCCTGTAGGTGTAAACTGTCGAAGTCATTTGCGGGCCGTGAAAAGAAACTGCCACCAGGTCTCGACTCTTGTTGTGGACGATGGCCCCACTGATCGTGCCAGGTTACCAGGCAATGTGGCCTTGCAGATAAATCTGCAACCTCAAGTAATGAGTCTAAGCCTACCATTCCGTCATGGAACACAGTAGGGTCTTTACGTTCCCTCCTGACCTACCTGGTGGGTATTCTCATCCGAGAATAAATTTATAAAGCAGGCAAGAGTGCGTCACACTAGCCGTATCCTAAGTAAATCCAGTATTCCAAATGGACTGTGCAACCCGCGACTGCGGTAGAGAAGGAACTCCCCATGGGACGTCCAATCAGGGTCCCAACTGAACTTGTGTGGTGGAACGGTGGTCGACTATTCTGGGGATAGTGAATCCCGGACAAATTCAGAAGGATGGGAAACGTAAACCGGAGTTGAGATTTCCATCCACATATGTCGTCATCTAAGAGTGGTAAGATGTATAGATCCAATGTTGATTGAGATCTGTATAACGTACAGAGTCCTCACGTGCTGTAGTGAGAGAGTGAAATAAACCGCTTACCCGTAGAACGATCCTTTTCCATGCCCGACCTGTCGAAGTTCGTGTAGGGGTTCCTGGTCTGGGTACCACCTACAAGATAGGGTATGACACCCTGGGTCCCTGTGCCCCTGACTGTCGGGGTACGTATCTCCCAGAGTAGGCCCCAGGTCAAGGGACCCAGGAATGTGAGTTCGATAACCAAAGTCAAGGTCTCCCTATAGAGGGATACCTCCCTTCTAAGCTTGGAGTCCCACGAACACATAGCATTCTCCAATATGCAGGCAAGGCGTAAAGTCCCTTCGCTCACAACAGGTGACTCCAGAGAGCAGATATAACGTAAAAAACAAGGGCTAGCTTCAACCGTCCAAATCATGTGATGTCCCGATTGAGAATGTCGGTAGACCTATCTGAGTCTGCTACATATCCTGAGCAGTACCCCGGCAGTAGGTTGCGACCCGACTTTGACGTCCGTGTAGGAGTCGAGGCACCCCGGGTTCCTCTATAGAGTCTCGTAGGTCTCCTCGATGGTAGATGAAAAGGTGGGTTAGCGAGAAACCAAACCAAGACGGCTCCCGTGAGGGATATAGAGTATAGACGGAAGGCCCTCCATCCCCGAACCATGTTCTCCAGATATGTGCTCAGAGGAGTAGGGGCAGTCCTGTCATCCTATAACAAAATTGTAATGACCAGGGGACTCAAGTCAACCGGGGTTTCTGGACTTTCCATGCAAATGGAGTACCTGCAGACCGGGTAGAGGGCCTTCCCTAGTCTTGTTACCCGATCAAGCCAGTGTCCATTTTGCTCAATGAAGGTCCCAGTCTCACGTCATCTTGATCTGGGAAAAACTGTCTGCGCAGTTTGTTGGCAATGGTCCAGGTATCTAAAACAGAATGCAATTGACTGTTTTATATAACGCAGAATATACCAAAACCTGCACTCTTGTATACCTGAGTCTCATCCGTAAGCCGTACCGTCTCCAGGAGTGTGTGTAAATAGCGGGAGTCTCCCCCCCCATTACACCTCTGAGAGTATTTATCGTGTGGGGTACAGTGGTCCGGATCCAGTAGATCCCTTACAGAAGGAGAAATAGAGAGAGACCTCTCTCTGAATCGCTCACCTGAGGTGGAATTAACTGGCAATAAACCAGACCGATGGAAGGTGGAATAGTATACAGCCTCGGGCCGTGTCCCTCCTTAATAACAGAAAGGGATGGTGAGAAAATGCAACCTATGGAAACAATAATGGGAACTACCAACTGACCACCCAGATCCCGCGCGCGGGGTCAAGGATGACCATTGGTAGCCTGAGGAAAGCTGAAGACATTCTCCGCAATCCACCAGAACCCGGGAGGTCAGAGAAGGTCAAGTCAGGCCTCTTGACAACCCGAGCGATAGGACAATTGGAAGGGTCGAAAACCAAGAAACGACAAATAATGTAGATAACGGTAAATACGTACGAACAGCAAGTCAAGTAAACCCAACTGGAAGGGTCAGGAGCTAAACATGACGTAGGACTAACTATCAATTCCCAAGTTGGATACCGGAAAGGCAGCTAAATGGTTAGTTGCTGAAGGCAAGGCAACCGTGCTCCCCCGTTGGCGTCGGAGCAATGGTCCCTGCTTGTGCAAAATTCTCTTTGGAGATCTGCTGCCGCCGGGTTGGTATGAACCGTGGTGGCGCGTCCGGAATCCTCATAACGAAAAAACCTCACCCTTCAGAGCATGAGGTTTAGGGCCTTCACCCTTTCAATCATATTGAGGTGCCCATGTACTGGTGTCCTCTTGGATGGTAAGACAGCAGAGCTTGCCTGGATACCCATATATCTCCATGTCAATAGTGTGCACTTGGCTCTTCTCAATCATATTCTCCCAGGCCTGTGACCAAAAGGGATTTTGGGCACAGATAGGGCAGGCCAGTCAGAAAGGTACAGATATAGCAGGCCAATCAAGT